GTTGACTTTAAACTGTTAATGCTAAATTTTTAAGCAAATATTTAATAAGATTTATACTTAGCACAAAAAGTATAGAAATTTGTATTTGGTAGTTTATTTCTTTGTTGTACCAATGCTTCTTGGCAATACATTTTATCTACCTTATTGGCAGCACCTTCCAGAAGTTCAAAACAAGTGTCAGTAGCAACAGCAAAAAAAAGCTGTTTGGCAGTAAAGGTTTGGCAACTTTTTCATGTGTGCAACCCACATATACGGTTATACTGCTCATCCCACAAACACATGTTCCTTGGCATCATATTTAAAAGGGAATTTACCAGGTTTTCCAATAATATAAGATTATTGCCAAGAAGTATTGTTACAACAAAGAAATAATCCACCAAACAAATTTATGTACTTTTTGTGCTAAGTTTAGTTTCACTCAGAATATGATGGAGATCAGTTTCAGATGATAGTACACTGAACTTTAGAATATCTGTAAAACAGAGTAAGTTTTAGCCTTTTTTATGCTTTGTAAAGTCAGTTGTCTGAGGCAGCCATCGTAAATTGTTAACTTCAGCAGTTAAACAGCAGTAGATTGACATCCAATAACTTTATGAAAGATAATGTTGACTAATCTTTGAAACAATTTTTGAGCAGCAGCAACAAAAAAGATTTTGAGCAAAAGCACCTTAAATTTTCTTGCATGCTAGCAAAGCTTTTATGTTTCTAGCTGGGAAATATCTGTATCAAAATACTATTTAAGGTTTCCTCTTRCTTGATATTAACCGGAAAACATTAAAACTACAAAACAGAATAAAACGTACATACAGTATAAAAAATCTAAATGTGCTTGAACTTTRCTCAACTTTTCTTTATCCAGGTTTGTGGACATAACTTTGAATCAGGGGAGCTTGGCCCAGGCACCATCGTGGGAAGCGCAGCCTTTAATCTGTTTGTGATCATTGGTATTTGTGTGTGGGTGATCCCTGAAGGAGAATCTCGCAAGATCAAACACCTGCGAGTGTTCTTCATCACAGCTTTCTGGAGCATTTTTGCCTACATTTGGCTCTACCTCATCCTGGCTGTAATCTCACCTGGGATTGTAGAGGTGAGATTACTTTTACTTGATGTGACTGCTTTTTTTTGGGTTGGGCGATTGGACGGCTATACTAACCATTGGCAATTGGAATCCATCAGGCAGTAGGTTTTTTAAAAGATGCTTTTTGCTTTATTTTAGCTAATGAAATTTTCTCTCTCAAGAGTTCTGACCTGTAAACAACTGCGCAATTCAAATCCAATTCCGAACACAGTGAAATGTAAACTGATTGTGTGCAATCAACCTAATTTATTTTYAGCAGCACTGCCTCTAACTTTCTGTCAGCTGTTGGTTCAGTCCACAGTCCGACACTGCTGTTGTTTTCTTGCTCAGCATGTTTTAGTTAATGAAATTTGAATCAGTTTTGGTTAAAAGTGTTCTTGCCATTATGAAGTTGCTTGGTTGGTCCAAGCATGCTTAAGTATAGCTGCGCAAATATAACTCCAGTTGTTACATGTGGAACTGATGATCTGTGGAAAAGTTCCAGCCTATCGCCCAACCTTTGCATTTTTATTAAACAAAATGTGTACATTATCTAATAGTCATGTTGCCTACATCACTAGGTGTGGGAAGCTGCAGTGACACTGTTGTTCTTTCCGGTATGTGTCATGTTAGCATGGATTGCTGACCGACGTTTATTTTTTTACAAATACATGCACAAGCGSTACCGTGCCAACAAGAGGCATGGCATAGTGGTAGAAATGGAAGGGGACAATTCCTTCAAGGACGTTGACATTATCATTGATGGAAAATTGTCAGACGGCAGTTTGTGTCCTGGAAACCAGTCTAGTGTGGCTGTGTCTGTGCAGACGGGTGGTGAACTAGATCAGAACAAAGAAGAGGTAAGTCGTGACTGAGGTGGAAATACGTTTTCTATTCCAAAGATGCAAGACTGAATTTTGAGTGGTGCTTGGCTTGTTTTTCTTCCATTAATACTAGTTTCCTCTCCTAAATAGGTGCATCGTATTTTGAAAGATCTGAAGGACAAACACCCAGATAAAGACCTGGACCAGCTGATTGAGATGGCAAACTACTCTGCTCTAGTTCACCAGAAGAAGAGTCGTGCCTTCTACCGTGTCCAGGCAACACGCATGCTGATAGGAGCTGGAAACATATTAAAGAAACATGCTGCTGATCGCAGACAACGTGCAGAAGGACAAGATGCTGAAAAAGCAACATGCTCATATATTTGTTTTGAAAGTTGCCAATACCACTGCACTGAAAACTGTGGCTCTCTGACTCTGGGAGTGATCCTTGATGGTGGCACAGGCCAGGACACATTTTATGTTGACTACTGTACAGAAAATGGGTCTGCCAATGCTGGATCTGACTATGAATTCACGAAAGGAACTTTGGTATTTAAACCAGGGGAAACTCGAAAAGAGATCAAGGTAATAAGACATCTTACGTGAGTGCTTTACTGTTCCAATTCCACTGTCCTGCATATTTTAGGGATTTCTACTTTGTGATAGAAGACTGCAGAACTCCTATTAGCAGAAATAACTTAAGTTATTGTACTACATATGACCTTATCAGAAAACAGAATTTAGTTTAGGCCAGGCTCAGCCTTGGAGATAGAYTGAGGAGCCCCATCATCTGGGGGAAGCTCTGAGTAGAGACACTGCTCCTTCACCTCAAAAGGAGTCAATTGAGGTGGTTTATCTGATTAAGATGCCTCCTGGACGCCTCCATTTAGAGGTGTTCTGGGCACGTCCCACAGGTAGGAGGCCCAAAGTGCACAAAGTTGTCATCTTTTTTTTCTTCCTCACCACAGGTTGTCTCTTAAAGAGAGAAAAAAATGTCTGGATATTAAATCAGCGAAATGGCTCCTGCTCCCACCTGAACATATTTTGTGTTTTGTCGGAGAAATTAATCCGACAGGTTTCTGGATTACATTTCTAATTAAATTTTGAGTAATGATTCTGCAATAACTCTCAAGATTAGCTAAGTTAATTTGGAGCAAGACGTCTTGTGAAATAATTCTAAATATGAAAGTACAAAATACGGAAACAAAACACTAAACTATGCATCATCCAGGAACTTAAGCAAGAAGACTTCATGACYGCAGCTCTATACAAACACAAACTTGGCACAGTAATTAACATACAATCACCACTGATTAGGTCAAAAACTGTCCTACCTTCTTGACCAAAAAATGTCCTGTTTCCTTTTAAGTCCTTAGTTTAGGGTTCAGTTCAAACTTGGTCTGTCTTCTCTAAACAGATTTTTAAACAAAATATCTCCTCCTCTGTTGGACATAAGCTTTGCTGAGTGCTATCCCTGCATTTTACGCACTCACGTTAGGTTTACTGTTTGTATCAGTGCACTAAAACCTTGCAGGACTAACGAAGTTGGGCAGTTTCCGAGGTAGAGGCCAGACAAAATTCAGTACCTGGTCTTCCAAGTTGGGGGTTAGACATACAGCTGACAACACTGSTTCATAAAACAATACCTTGTATGAATGTGGTGTTATGTTCCAAAAGGGATGAAGAGGACAAAGAGAGAGAGAGAAAGAGAGAGACCAAGTGTTTTTATGATGATATTTATGATAATAACTGTTGCAGTTGGCCATGTAAAACCCAATAAAATCATCACAATCACATGCACTATGAGTGTCCAGGTTCAGACTGTAACTGAGACCTCACAAGTAACCAGCCTAAAAGCTATCTTTGAAATATTGTGTCGTTTGCATTTATGAGGCATGTGACCAGGCAATCTTTTTCTCTTTGTAGGTGGGTATCTTGGATGATGAAATCTTTGAGGAAGATGAACATTTTTCTGTACGTCTTTCGAATCTGAGGTTAGAAGAGGGAGGAAATGAAGGAACAGGAACCCCACCCAAGGGTAGACTTGTAGAGCCACAGGTTGCTATCATCACTATCCTGGATGATGATCACGCTGGAATCTTTACTTTTGGGCAGCAGGTACTGAGAGTAAGTGAGAGCACCGGTATCCTTACAGTGACTGTGCTGAGGAATTCTGGCTGCAGGGGCACAGTTGCTGTGCCATATCATACAGAGGACGGCAGTGCCAAGGCTGGAGTGGACTATGAGGAGGCCAGGGGAGAGGTGGAATTTACCAACGAGCAAACCAGGTGAGGTACAGCTGACAATACAGTCTATCTTGCAGTTTCAAATAACATCAGTGTTCATCTAACTCTGACTTCTCCCCTACGCCTTTAAAACAAGTTCTTAAACAAATTTTGAAATATCCATCCAGTCCTCCATTTTCTTTCTGCTAGCAAAGCAGATATTGTTAATGTGGCAAGCCACTTCCTCACTAAATCAGAAGTGACTCGATGCCAGCTCTCCATCTATAAGGGTCCTAATTCTTTCAAACTTAAAGGTCTTACCTAAACAGTGATGAAARAATTGTTTAAGCTGGTTGCGAGGAGAATTCGTCCAGATCTGATCACATTCTTCTGAGACCCACACCCTTTTTCATTCAGGAAGTTGATCCATTGAGCAGCCTGCTGTGGACCACCTCTCGAACAGTCTCATTAACTGTGATCTTCCCCTCTTCAGACATTTGCGCTTGTTTCCATCTGGATTAGTTTTAGTGGTCTGGAGGTAGACCCCAAGGACGTTGTTTTTAATGTCATTGGGCTATAGATAACCGATGAGAACCCTTTGACTTCTAGAACCAGCACATTTGCTTTTTTAACACCATGTAAGAGTCACATCACAGGAAAATACAGAGAAATTGAATGTCCACAACYTGTAGGGGCTTTTACTGTAATTGCTCTTTTAATGAATATTGGCAAAGCAGTGCATAGTATTCATTGGCTGAAGAAGATTAGGTAACATTTAAGTCACATCAGCCGATGAGAAAAATCTGTCCCTAATCAAGCTGCATTAATTTARCCAGAATATTTGGATGATGATTGAGGATGTAGGATCTTTCATAACTCACGAGCTGAAATGTCCTTAGTCTTGTGGTTTCAAATTTAATTCACAAGAAGGTCTTCACGATGTCCACTTGTTCGATTACTTGATGAGATTTTGTGATCCATGAGAAAGGTTTAGAATTTGATACTAAAATCTTCAGCTTGCAGGTCTTTCAGAAATCTTCAGTTCTTCAGTCTTGTCCCCCACCCACCTCTTCAGATGTCTGCAGGGAATGTCCTCCAAAATCCCCCTTCCTCTGTCTTGTTCACCATTTTATACACTCAGTCAGGTAGAAGAAAGACTTTTTTTGGTATCATACTGATTTAAGAAGCTCTTATTGGTTTTGAATGCATGTCGCCCGATGAAGTGAATCAGAGGTTACCATGACAACGCTTGAATTCCTTTTTCAATGGTTGCCTCCGTCACTGACAGGTTCAAATGGTCACTTGAYGTCTGGAGTTGTAGCAGTTCCCAATTTTCTACATGCAGATTTCCTGTTTCCTCACACTCAGAGCTGACACTCTGATGCTACGTTCACACCGAACGCGTTTTGAGCGGCCAAAAAGCGCAAAACGCCTCAAGTTGAACGCGCTATGTTCAGACCGAATACACTGGTGTTCAGTCCAGAATGAGAAGCAGCTGCGGCTGCAGTGGGGTGTRGGAGGAGYGTCTGTGCTCRGCGGGTGAATYAAAGATAAAATAAAAGAAAATGGCTTTGATTTATTTACTAAAGAGCAAGCGAACATTGTGCACAGCAGATAATTAATTCACCAGATGATTTAGAGGCGATTTGTTCGGTTAGTTTCGTCACTCCAGAAGCTGCCAGCTGATGGACTATTTTTTTTTGTCCCGAGCAGCTGACCCACATCGGTACTGATATATCCAGCCAGAAAATCCAACTGCACACGGTCAATTTCAGWTAAAGATCTCCAGTCCATCTGTTTCGGATTTCAGTGGGAGACATGTCGAGTGGCGAAAAGTTCCTATTTTTTAACTCTGGCGGCTGCTGCTTCCACAGCACCGCATGCGCGGAAAACGCTCTGCGCCCCCTTCTGCCTTCCTTGCGTGCTGCCCAAAATGTACGTGACGCGACGGATCTGAGGAGATGGTTTAGTGCAGTGGTTTTTCAGTGGTTACCAAACACAGTAAAAATAAAAAGGACTGAGTCTCTGATGGTGGCTGGGTAGTGGTCTAATTGCGTTTATGGTGGTTGTTGTTGTTGTTGGCTTCTTCATACGAGTGTATTCAAAGACCATCTCCCAGACAACTAGGATAGCTTAAGCATTGTTGGAGCAACATCCACCCTTGGCCTACCAGATGAGACAACAAGAGGATTCCATCCCTRGGACCATTGCACGATCCAGACTGAGGGGGCAAGGAGTGAYGGCGTGGAGAAAAAAGCCCCAAMGTCCCTAGCTGACATTTTAAGTAATTAAACATAATACTGATGTAAAAACAGACATAACAGACATGAACTTAGTTGAGGCCAATCATAACTGTTGCTAATGATGATTAATGATTTTTACTGTTCATTGTATGGTTTAACTGTTAATAAGCTAAGGTTAAATCTTAACACACTAGGATGTTGTTGTCTCAGTTAGTAACCAGGTCAGTCKGTCACAGAGGTGTGGGGGAGATGGAACGGTGCTGARGACTTGTTCCCGACKGTAGGCCATGTTCTGGAACCTCTGGTCTCAAAAGAATAAACACAGCTGACCTGGTTAGGATTTAACGGTAGTTCAGGTTGTGTTTTCTATTTTGTTGTTGGGGTGGAATAAATGGATCATTTTACTTTATACCAGGGGTGGGATGTTAGTCAATTTCCATGAGGTGGTGTCACGCTTAGAATAATTACAGACACATAGTGCTAAATGCGAACATATAGGGTTTTGATTATAAATKTCCTTAATGTTCACATGACTGGTTGTCATGTGAAAAGGGGGAGTTGAAGAAATTTATTGGGGTGTTTACTACTGACTTTTAAAAAYACTACACATTGTATAGTCTTTTATTAGGTGAACAGTAATATATTTTTGTAATGTGGTTATCTCTGACTTAATTTATGATTTCATCTGCAGACTGGGTTGTGTGGGGCTCTTGAGCAGGGTCTGACAGACTCAGGAGGCTGTTAGTTAGCTACATGTCTGACTTAAAAATAACATASAGTAAATAAGAACTGTGATGATACCATTAGGGTGAGGAGCGATGTATGTCATCCTGATTCCGTGTAGAGACAGCCTGCCCCTTTAACGTATGTCATGAGRTGGAGTCAGGATGTGAAGAAGGCTGTTACTTGATGTGTGTTTCCTGGGTTTTTTCTCACTGTTTAGCTGGTGCCTGTYGGAGGCACATTAAAAGCTAAACAGTCCACAGCTGTGTCTGAATGGTTTTGTGTGGCTCACTCAAACATWCACATGTCATTATTATGAACTGGTATTAGATCTGAACAGGTAAAGGGTAACGAACATTGCTTATTTTTTTAACAAAACTGTAAAATAAAAAAGGGGTGTTTTGTAACAGAACATTGATAAGAGTTTCACTTAAAATTATATGGCAATAATACCATGTGTGGTGACTGTACAAACAGGTTTTTATGAAGCGTAGAACTCACAGATTTACAAGGATGTAAGTTATTGATATAGAAATAAAAGTGATTGTTTTTGTTTGTGTGTCTTCATAAAACTTTCCAGTCAGMCATTACAGGTTCGGATTCTAAATATGGAAGAATACGAGAAGCAGGAAAACTTCTTCATCATTCTTGAAAACCCCAAGTGGCTGAAGCGAGGATTTTCTGGTAAGAGTAAAAAGAATTCATCATTCCTACTTACAACTTGTGATTTTGGTTATAAAGAAATGTGATAATTCTAAACTGACTGTAGGAGCACCAAATATCACATGTGTAGAGCTGTGCACACGTCAGAGTCAATAATTTAAGATTATAATCAGATTTTGTATCTGTTTTACTGCACACACATGCCATTATTAATTGCTTGTTTCGGTGACCTCAGAGAAATACACTGGATGTTGGAGGAACTGGACTGATGCATGTTAATGGAGGACAACACTTAGTTAAGATTTCACAGCACTTGGTTTCTGGGGCTGTGTCCAAAATCAGAGTTTGGGTCCTCCGATGGGTGAATTTGTCTGAAGCTTACGTCACAGTGCCGCGCCATAGGCTGTCCAAATCCAAAGACTCCTCTGATGYGGCCAACAAACGTGTTCTTCTTTTGCCCCAATTTGAAGAACTGGTCTGATGGAGCCTCTGAATTTGGACACAGCCTGTAGCTTTGAATATTAAATAAATGTTTACCAAGTAAATTGTTTTTTTATATTGAGGCTATCAAAATGATGCATTGAGTCACCGTCTCTTTTTCTTTTTAGCACTACTACTTAACCAGGGTAAGTTTGTGTGTACCTGTAGATGTGATGTGTGTGGTTCATCTGCAATACTACTGTGAACAGAGGTGGAAATTAAAATTTTTCTCCACCGGCCGCAGTGGCCTTTTAATAAAGCAGGCAAATAAGATTGTAAGCCCACAAGTAGTATTAATTTAGGGTTCATTTTTAGGATAATGCAATACATCTGTTTTTGTTGTTGTTGTTTTTACCTTTATATGTGGGTCTTAAGAATTATAGTTGGGCTTTTAAAAAATACATTTAATTGGGTTGTGCCTCAAACACATTTACTATACAAAGATGAAAGAAGTTAAGACAAAGACTACAAAAATTAATTACATTTTTTTCCTGGTCATTCCTAATTTTCAGAGGCAAATCTTCTAAAATACTACAAAAGCCCTTTTTACAGTATAATATATTGAGAGCATGCACAATTTTGCAGTGTAATATTTGTTTCTGCCTTGAGCTTTAGCATGACTACATGGTAGACAAWATACATAAATGGAAATCCGCACTCATTGACAGGAAACCCCACCCCTGAGGAGGAAGAAGCCAGGAGGATTTCTGAAATGGGCAAACCCATTCTAGGAGAGCACAGCAGGCTGGAAGTCATTATAGAAGAAGCATGCAGTTTTAAGGTTTACATTTGAAATTTGTCTTGTTTACTATTTTAGAAACAATTCACTAAATACAGAGACTGATGAAGCTTTATTTTAAACGATCCCCTTAAAGCAGGCTAAGTGGACCATTTAAAATAAAGCTTCATAGGAGGTTAGAAGATGATACATTTTGTTTCAATTCTGAATTCCAGTCATATATTCCATACAAACCTCTTGAAATTTAAGTTAAATAATTGAAAAACTTTTTTGTTCCTTAACCACACTGTCACTTTTAATGGATCAGACTCCCAATGGAGTGATAGACCAGGTATGGTTTTCGCCAGTTTGCTGTGTTAGATGGATATGACTCTCTTGATAAAGTATTTAGAATCTGCATGTATGTGTCTTMACTTGAGATACTCTAAGACCACCTGCATCAGTGTGTGCTGTGTGAGCAGTGACTCAGTAAATTATTTTAAACATTTTGAAGTTGTGTATTCAAACAGTGATACAAGTAAGTATGAAGGTTTAAATGCAAAATACAACAAATCCATAATATTTGTTGTATTTATTTGACTTATACTGACAGACTCACACCAGCCACTAGGGCGCATATGTCAATGTATCTCTTGTGCGAGTCCAAGCCTTGGTAAATAGCAAAGGTCACATCAGGAAGGGCATTATTGAGACCCAGATTAACAATGATCACCACCGGTGCTGTTGATAAACAGGAAGTTGCAGAAACTGCTAGTTGAAGACCACTAGGATGGAGAATGGCAAAAGGCCATCAGAGAGGAGAAAAGTCAAGAGTACACAAGAGTACACTCTTGACTTGCCACTGGATGTGGCAGTTCATTAGTTGAAATAAGGCTTAAACGCTAGCAGAAAACATGACAAAACGAGACAAATATTTGTGGTGAAATAATGAAGGGTCTCTGATTATTTTTTTAGTTTTTTTGTAGACTCCAGTGGGAAGAAACCCTGTGCAGTGATGTGTACCACAACAGAAGCGATTTCCCAGGAGCTTGGCACTGTGTTTTTAGAAGCTATGAAAGGTTGGGTCGAAAACAAATGCCAAACAACCTCATGACTGCACGTTGTCTGCTTGGCTGCTGATCAACCACACTGAGCACTTAAGGTGTAAGAATAGGATTGTATCGACTGGTGAGACAGAGGGATGAGGCAAGAAAGGATGTGCAACAGATTAAGCTCTTTAAAGATAGAAATTGAAAAGTGAGGAGAGTGTAATGGGAAGATGAAGGAGTACTTTGAGGAGCTAATGACTGAGGAGAATAAACGGSAAAGAAAAGTAGAGGTCATAAAACCAGTCCTGGGAAGTGGGAAAGATYAGTGAGGATGAAGTTTGGAAAGCTTTGAAGAAGATGAAGAAGCAGGAGACAGTTGGACCTGATGACATAACAATGGATGTATGGAAATGTGTAGGACAGATGGCAGTGAGGTTTTTGACTTGATTATTCAATGACTGAAAAAGTGAGTGAGAAAATGCCTGACAAACAGAGCAAAAGTGTGCCTGTGCCACCTTTTAAGAACAAGGGTTRTAGCAACTACAGGAGAATTAGGTTGATCAGTCACAAGATGAAAACCTGGGAAAAAGTTGTGGAAGCTAGATTTAGACAAGAAATTAGTATCTATGAGCAACATTATGGTTTCATGCCAAGAAGGAGCACCACAGACATAATCTTTGTGTTGAGGATGCTGATGGACAAAGGACCAAAAGGGTCAGAAAGTACAGTGAGATGGAGGACTCGCTATGACTATTACCTTTTCCYTTAAATAAAGAAACAAGTCATGACTGTTTTAACTTGATCAATGTTTAAAAAAAACTCTAATTGTGAACATTTGTTGTTTGCACATCCACACAGGAAATTATGACTTCTGCCTTATTCTAAATCTGTTTAATTTATTGAAACAGAATACTGTGGACAAACTCCTCAAAGACACAAATCTGGCCTCTGTGATCGGCACCCACTCATGGAGGGAGCAGTTTGTTGAAGCAGTGACCGTAAGTGCAGGTCAGTGGTTACTTCATGTTATATTCAGAAAAATATTGCATGAAACATTTGTTGTTTGAGTCCAATATTCACAGCCAACAGACCTTTCTTTAATAGACATGTTTACATGGTGACCAGCTGTTTAGATATGACGTGCCTCCAGTAAAGATAAACTCTTCTGTTAATATAGGTCATGAGCATAACATGAAAAAATATGTTCTCGTAATTGATGTTACATGATGAAAATTATGTTTTGTTGTCGCACCACCTCAGAGAACCAGTTYTGTGCAGTGGGTTCTGGCAGAACTTTTTTTCTTGAAGGGGTATATACCAAGTTTAATGTAATTGGTCTGAAATTTGTTGGCATGTTTATTTGAAAAAGTKGGTGAACTGCACTGTTCTCATGTTGCTTCAGTTGCTCTGCTGAGGACCAGCTGGCTGAGGCTGTTMGAAAACATAGCCATCCTTACAATTCRTCCAGCAAAACTTTTAAAGATAGATAAATAAAAGACTTTAAAAATAGTCAATATATTCARTGAAGGAGCTATCACAATGTTTGTGCAYAGAGGAGACAGTAAGRAGACACAGGCAGCTGGCAGTGCAGGCTGTGAGAGATTACACCTTGGCCAGGTAGCTTAGGGATGTCTGTCAGATATAGTGGCGGTCTCTTCATGGCAAATTTGCAAATTAATGTTTTTCCTTGGTTCCAACTCYACCATCATCCACTAAAAATAAACTCTGGTACTGTATTGGTGCTGTGCTGTTCTGCAGTGGGATGAAGTTCTTGCAACACTTTCCCTTTAGAGGTTAAAATCTATGCGAATAAAGAACGCTTCAAAACTTTGTGGACAGATGTCTTATCCTGTCAAGTGTGCAGTTGCTTTAACTCTATATCTTCTTGCATGCAGTCTGATCTGTCACAAAAACAAGCCAGAGTGGGAACATCCAAAACATTAGCTACTCTTGCAATTTTTAGGCCCTAAAGTAAAAAAAATTATTCATACAAAAATATAAATACAATTTTAAAATTTGAAGGTTTTTGAGGTCTAAATTACAGCTGATCTTGTGATACCTAATTATATTATTTTGATTCCTAATTTTTAGAGATTTTCCTTTGTTTTGAAGAATGAATTTCTTGTTAGGGGTCCAAGCCTGCGGAACAGGGTAACCATGCTTCCAATGGAGCATGGAACCCTATTGTATCTGTT